TATTCATTTTGCTAAATACAAAATGCATACGTCTTGTTAATGCGATCAGTAATTGAAGTCTTTTTCTGAGACTTGATAAAAAGATTGAATATGAAGCGAAATTTATCAATATTTCCAAAGCTTATAAAGTGTTAACTAATGAGGAAACTCGTAGAAATTTTGAAGAATTTGGTCATCCAGATGGTAAACAAGGTTCGTATTATTTATTCACTCTTTTTATTTATACTATCAATTTGTTATTTTAATAACCTTTTATTTGAAATTAATTAAATTTATTTATTTATTTAGCTTATTCCTTGGGTATTGCTCTTCCTACTTGGTTGGTTGAAGCAAGAAATAGTCCAATTGTACTTGGTATTTATGGTATTGTCTTTGGATTGCTACTTCCTTTCTATGTGGTAAAATTAAAATATTTATTATTGTACATCGTTGAATAATGTGCAATTTAAAATAATGTTCCTAATTTTATTTATACTTAATTTTATTTATAGGGTCGTTGGTGGTATAGTTCGAGCAGTTATACTAAGAATGGAATAAGGACTCACACTATGGATCTTTATTTCAGAGATTTGAGAGCAAATTCTAGCTTTAAACAAATTTTAGATCTACTTTCTGCTTCTATCGAATTCAAAGAATTAGTGGAGCAACGTCCCACTGATAATGCGCAGCTATCTCCGATTATTATTTCTGTAAAAGATGAGTTGGAAAGACGGTTTGGTGAAAAATACGAAAAGAGTAAAAGGGTGGGTTTCTACTTGTGAATTTAAATTTTATAATTTTTATAACAATTTATTCATTTGAAACAGTATAACGCTCCGTTTTGCCAAAAAGCGAATGCTTTATTATACGCTCATATGTTAAGAGTCAATATTGATGATAATGACCTATTGAAAGGTATATATCCATTTTTTTTAAATGTGCACTTTCTCATCTGATATAGATTCTTTATAACCAGTTTTTTATACTCTTATATCTCCTTATACTAATATTACATCATTGAGAGATACATTCACCT